GGCCACCCCCCCCCCCCCCCCTGTGTGGCAAAGCCACCAAATAAAGCCGATGAGCCAAAGGGATTGGATGTCTTTGGGAGGGACACACAGCGAGCGACCCCCCGCCGGGGATGCTGCGGCCACACCAGCCCAGCTCCCCCCCTGCCCAGGGTGGGGTGCCCGTCCCCGTCCGCCATGAGCACCTCTCCTCCCCGGGGAGATCCCCTCGTCGGTGCGGCCAGGACCCAGCCTGAGCTCATACCCCACCGGCACACACGGCTACAAACGCAGACCCCACGCAGCACCCCGGGGACCCCCATGGTGTGGGGACAGGGTGGCACCGGGATGTTCCTCTCCCCAGCGAGCGCTGCCCCTCGCCCCTCATCCCCTGCCATCCCGCCCGCCCAAAACCAGCAGCGAAGGGCGACAGCCTGGCCCCACGCATGGCACGCGTAGCCAGCGGCACGCTCGCCTCCGCAGGCGTCTTGCCTCCGCTGGGCGGACAAGGACAGGGAGTCCCACACCCTGCCTAATTAGCGTTAATGAGGACAATAACCAGAAGCAAATGGGCGCAGCTGCACCAGTCGATGGGCTACCAGGCAACGGTGGCAACTGGGAATTCGCAGCAGATCAGGCTGTGATGGGGGCAGACAGGGGGAACGTGCAGCGTCAGAGGAGCACTGTGTCCCCTGTCTGTCCGTCCTGTCCGTGTGTCTCTGGGACACGAGCTCAGCTGGTGGAACGCGCAGCCGAGAAGGTGGCAGGGACATCCCCCAGCCGGGGCAGAGACCCCCAGGTCCCCGGGCACCAGGCTGGGCTCCAGTGGCAAAGATGGAGGGTCCTGGCTGGGGCAACTGGGGTCAGCGGCTTCTGACATCCCTTACAGACCATACTGGGTGCTACTGGTCTGTACTGGGCTCCAACAACCAGGCAGGAGAGTCCTGGCTGGGGCTGCTGGAGGTGGCGGCTTCTGACATCCCTTAAAAGTGGTCGTTGGCTCCGACCTGTCCTGTCCCCCACCATGGGCAGCCGCGGGGCGCAGCGTGGTGGTGGCAGCGGTGGGGGT